AATGATAAGGGTGTTCATAACTATCGTAAGCAAAAGTATTTTGCTGACACAAAAGGACGTGGCATGCAATGTTTGGTCATATACCCAAAAGCAAGAAGAAGTCCATTATAAAAAAAAATGCAAGAAGATGCCTTATAATAACTATATTAAGCAATCAAAATTAGCATTTCAACCAGTGATAGGGGGTATTAAGGGTGTTGTAGCTGATGTTCCATGGAAATTTGATCAGGAAGGGTGTAGGAAGGCTTTGTGTCATATTACAATTCTTGATGAACTTCCTTTATGGTTTTAAACAATTTATGGACGTAGCACAACCTTGTTTCCGCATTCCTTCTTGTGACTCGTGATTGTTTTGATCTTTTTTATGAAGAAAAACATAATATGATGGTCGTTGTTAAGGAAACACAACAAAGGGTCATTACTTGGACTCGTGATCGTTTTGATCTTTAATCACTGATACTTGGACTTTCATACAAAGAATCAATTATATGGTCATTTCTGCTCATTGGATTGATAAAAAATGGACTTTGCATAAAATACTTCTCAACTTTTGTCCAATCTCTAGTCATAGAGGTGAAGATCTTTCGCATAGTCTATTAATAAGTGTTACATGAGTGGGGATTGCATTGTATTTTCACTGTTGCAATTGGTAATGCTAGTTCAAATAGTGTGGCAACAAACTGAGTTGTCTAAGCAATTAACTAAGTGGGGGACCAACCTAATGGATGGTAGTCCAGATAAGTCTCTTCCCAAGCTCGTAGAACATACAAAAATTTGAAGTAGCTGATTCTGTAACGTTTTAATTCAATGATGCCTTGAAATACTCGCTAGAATTTATCCTATCAATAGCTAGAACTGGTAGCAACCTAATAACTAATTAGGAAAATGTATTGAAAGAAAAAATGTTTATGGTGAAAGCTCCACAAACAAATGTATAATCACTGCTGATGGTTCAAAGTAGACGAACCTTTATAACATTTTGATTCATAACTGTTACTTGTCATTCAGTTGAATAAAGTAATTACTGTAAACTTACTTGTTCTTCCATAAGACGAATGTTGGCCTGAGGATAGAGGGACAAATTTTCAGGTGCATATAGAATATAGAAGAAAGCCTCAGTTTTTCCAGAACAGTTTCATAAGAACAATTTTAATCGCAATTCACATGTCTCAGTTAAACTTCCTTAAGAAGAATGTTAGCCTGAGAAAATCATTGGCAAGTGGTGATTTTGTGGAACTCTCTCCTGCTTTGAGTTCTAGAAAAATCAGAACTAATTGTACTCGTTCGTTAATTTGATGGTTTACTTATTAGCTTGAGATCGTTTTCCTAAACTCAGAATTCATAATTCCCAAATCCTGGCTCCACCTCTTTTATGGATAGATCACTCACTGAGATCCATTGTTCTGTTATGAAATCATTAGGAGATAAACTACAGAACAATTTAACTTTCTGGGCTATTAGATTCTGTTTTATTCTTATTTGGGTACTCATTTTCTTTGGAACTTTATTTGAAAGCTTTTAGTATAATGACTGGTAATATCTAAATTCATTAGAACTAAAATGAAAATGGAGCAAGATAGTTGCACAAGAGATACATGTGATGTTGCAGTGCAACAAAAGTTGTTTATTTAAAGCAAACTATTAGTACTTACTTTGTCCCGTATTATGTGAAGGTGTTACTGGTTGGGAGTAAAATAATCTTTCTTCTTGGAAGAAAAATAAGAAGCATAAATAGGCACCGAAAGCCAGATCCGTGTTTATGATTAGAGCCACGGGTGACTGTATCAAAAGCAAACTGAGCAAAGGCAACTGATACCGAGAGGATGGAGAATACAGAGAGCGTATTGCCACAAGTCTGCAAAATCATTCACATACCTGAAAAGCCATCCTTTCTTCCTCACCTCCAACCCACGGTTAACATGTTTGCTTCTGTCATTGAACCCAAAGATGCCAATACTCTAGTCAGGAAGTTAAATAAGATTGCACCACTGGAAAATTTGCAACATGTGAAGCGTGTGCAGAGGAAAAGCATTGATGGGGGGAAACCTCAATTATCTCTGCTTTTATGTATGATTGTTGGAAATGATGGTGGAGATGATTGCATGCCATACGAGATTCTTGAACTTGTTAAATCATACCAGTTGAGTACTTTCATCACAAAAGTTTGCAAATATGCTGCAACATCAAAAGAAGAATGGGATGAACAATGCAAGCTCTGGCCTACTTCGTATCATCCACCAACCTACAACATCAGTGGCATTACTGGATTTAGTGAAGAGGAGTCACAATCAGTTTTCAGCTTCATGAGACACACCATTAATTTGGCAACATCTTCTATTGGTCAGGTGGTCAATGCTGCTGTTATTGTAGATCCTTCAACTAAGCAGGTCATTGCAAGTGCTTGTGATCAGGTAATATCCTCAGCCAGTCTTGCAAATGGGGTCAGCAAGGAAGGTAGCTGCTCGAACTATCTAGAAAACCTCAAAGCCTCTAATTTGGACCAGCAAACGTCACTTTTGGATGGTTCAATTAGTGAATTTAAACCTATAACTAACAATGTTGCTTGTGTACATCCTTGGCAATGGGCACTGCGAAGCTCTGGTTGCTGGCATCCTTTGCGGCATGCGGCTATTGTTGCCATTGAATATTCTGCTGCCAGGGATCTACAACTTTTTCCTGATCACAAAGCTCTATCTCCTTTGAAAAGACAGAAGATCGAGGAGTCTGGCTTCCATAGCAATGGCCATAGTTATCAATCGCTCAGACCTTATCTATGTACTGGATATGACATTTATCTGGCCTGGGAACCATGTGCAATGTGCGCAATGGCGCTTGTACATCAAAGAGTTAGACGGATATTTTTTTCTTCCCCAAATTCCATTGCTGGTGCACTAGGAAGTGTTCACAGATTGCAAGGGGAGCGGAGCTTAAATCACCATTATGCTGTTTTCAGGGTCGTTCTGCCTGAGGAGGTGTTCAGGAATAAAGTAGTAGATGGAAAGGCTTCTGGAAGTGGTTGAAACAAACACTAATCAGCTTTTGGGGGAGGTTAGGTCTTATGACACTTTAACTAAGATAAATGTTAATGTGCATAGTTATTCATGACATATACACTTGATCTCCCTTCTTATGTATGTAAGTATGGTTGCTACTGTGTCGATGCAATGATCTGTTCCCTTGTGGTTGATAAAAAAGGTTCTTTGACTATAATTTTCTCAAGCTCTTTTAAACATGTGTAAAATTTTATTTTGAAGATTCCATACATGAATTCATAATCAACATCAAGTGTTTGATTCTCGTACTCCGAACCCCTTCACATAAATTGGGACAAAGGGAGTAACAAATAGTAATTCATATTTATGTGGTTATCATATTACAAATACAATTCATATTTTACCTTAGGAATTTATATTCGAAGAACTGCTGAAGGTAGATATGAATATTTACATGGAGAATAGTGAAGGAAAAATGGAGTCGTGACTATGAAATGTATTACGTGTTGAATCTTCCAGCTTCTTTTTCCTTGTTCTTTTATTTGTTTTTAGCTTTTCCATCTTCAGAAGAAGGATTTGGTAGTATGGTGATGCACTCACTAGATCTCTGAAGTAGATGGATCACCTCATACTACCTCCTTTGGGGCATCTGACTTGAAAAATGATTGCAATGTTTCTGAAACGAGTTCATAATAATTATAAGAATTTTATTGATTCCATAGTATTTATTCTTTAACATCGTTTCATTTCTTTTCTCTTTCAGTCTTTAAAAATTAAAGATGAATGACAAGTGACATGTTACCAACGATTCAACAACCAAGAATGGTTCTTATATGTGGATTATCCTGAGGGGGAAATTACTGTCAGCACCAACCAAGAGATTGAAGTCACAAAAGAGAAGAAACTGTTCCGATGAATCAAAATTTGGTTCACCAATACTTATCCATGTTTAGCAAGATAAGCCGAGCTGAGTACGATATCCCACAATATTTCCAGATTGGAGTTTGAATCGAATACATATGGAATTTTTCAATATCAAGATTTGGGAACAGATTTGGGTAGTGCATTTGATTAAAATTTATGTAACCATTAAATTACTCTGAAGAATTTTTCATCTGAAGTTTCTGATGGTCCCGAAGTGGGTGATTTTAACGTTCATATAAATATTCCACCTGTGCAACAATATGAAGGCCAGATTTGCTGGTAGAAAACCAGCTTCAGAGAGCCAAGAAAAGAAGATTGTGGAAGGACAATAACATTGTCAAGCACATTTTGGTAACTTTTTTCTTTTACTGGATTTTTAAATGGATTTTGTTTGAACTAGCTGTGGAAACAACATCTTGCAGAAATGCAGGGTCTGGCCCTTGTGGTATGTATGATAGACCCTTGTGGTTTGACCCTTCTCTGGACCCTGCACATAGCAACAGCTTAGTGCACCGGGCTGCCCTTTTTTAGGTCACATAGTGCACCCAACCAAAGAGTGCAGTTTGAGAAAATCGGTTCGACAAAGTATGCTGATGGACTTGTGGATGCAGACACAAATTCAGAGAAGAGTTGGAGATCTCTTGGTAACTTCAGGTATAAAGCAAAACCAGGATCAGGTCAATCAGACAGTAGGGAGACCTGATCATCGCAGTTCTGTCCGTTCCAGCTCTCCCTTTGGCCAGAGACAACAGAGAAATGCTTCTTCTAGTAGTAAAAATCAACCTTGCTCTCAATGTGACCTAAGTCAAGTACTTGCTAAGTTGATGACAAGACTTGTGTTTGTAGAGTGAAAATAACAGGTTGCTTGGATTGTCTTCTCTTGAGTTATTAAATTTTGCTTGTAACAATGTTAAAGTTATTAATTGTTGCCTGTGCCAATGTTTGATAAAATGTAGCACTACCAATTATACCATCACTTGAGAGTTGAGGATTACTTGTAACATGCAATTTTTTACTTTGAATTCATTAGTTTCTGTGGAAACTTTTACTATCATTCAATGTGCATTCTGCTGTGAGTCAATGTGGAGCAATCTTTAAGTGTTATTCACATCATACTTGTCATTAAAGGAAGTCTTTGTTTAGTTTCCCTTTGGACAACTATATTAAAAACAACATACGAACTGTTCCTGTAAGGTTGCTCTTTTTTATTAGAGTGAAGATGCGTGCTTGTTCTTCAGCATCACTTTCCAAACACCAATTTGTCACGAGACGCTGTAAAAAAGAAAAAGAAAAACATAGATCAGACGTTGTACTGAAACTATATACCACCAAAGGTTGTGGTGAATGGTTGGATTCTCACAACCCTTAACCAGATGTCTTTGTAAGAAAAAGAAAAAAAAAGGAAGTGTAAAGTATTTGGTGACAAGAAACTCATTGTAATCTTACAATTCACAATCAGTGTTAGGTTCAATGGTGAAACCAAGAGAAACACCACAGAAACCAGGCAGAGTGGCAATGGCAGTAGCATTTGGGTTGTAAGTAGTAATAAGCTCCATCATGCATCTACAGACAGACTGGCGGGTCTGAACGCCAGTGGAGCTAGCTACAGTACTTAGGGTAGTCATAGCAATGCAACATGGTGCACCAGGTACCGGATCTGGTGTGCCATAGTTCACGAAGCTGGCACATGCCGATACCAGTGCTGTCACTGTGCTGCATTCATCTTCAGCTCCAGCTTCATGAATTACTAAAGCAACCCCCAAAACCACCACCATCCAAAACACAGATTTCATCTCAGCAGAGTTGTACTTTCATCTCTTCTACTGGTGTTCAAATAAATATTAGGGTGATTATGTTGCCAAATTCATCAAGGTTGCATGACAGAGTTGTCAGGTCCATCATGCATCCAACACTAGACACTTATGTAAGTTGATATAGTCCTGTTGCCTGAGTACCTTATTAGTATCTCTTTTGTCTTTGTTTTTCCATCTCAGCAACAAATATAACAAAAAGAAGGCAAATATGTTGAAAAGCCAAGGGCTAAATCACCAACAGAAATTATATACTAAGAATCATTTGTTTCACAAGGGGAAAACAGTAAATGAATAAAGACAAACTAAATGTAGATATCTAGTGGTAAAAACTAAAAAGAAGACAACATGCTAAAAAAAACACAAATGATTTAACTACTGCTTTACAGGCCAAATTATGCAAGCATCTCTAGTTAATTTCCATCACATTTCCATCTAGAGGTTGGAACACAGCTGAGGTAGTGACACCAATGGCAGTGATCATATCCATTAACCCCTCGGAACAGCAACACCAGTCCGATGGTAAACCTGCAATTTTAAGCACAAATGGATAATCTGGTCAGGGTGCATTGCGATTTTCTTTCATATGAAACAAAAAAAAAGACAAATATCTATACATGCTTAGTCGTGTATGTACTCATACTAAAACTTTTAGAGCCAAAGTTGTGTCTTATACTAACCCTGCTACTAGCAGAACAAGAGAAACAAGCCCCAGTCCATATTGGTAAGCCTTGTATTTGGAATTCACACGAACACCAGCTGGAAGATTGCGACGTTGCATCCACCCTAGTTGAGGGCGTGGAAGCAGAACAAAGCCAAGGAGAAATCCAGTCAAGAATCCACCAATGTGAGCAAAATTATCCACATGAGGCAAGATTCCAACTCCTAGATTGATGGCAACTATCACCAAAAGCGTCAAGAGTGCACAAACCTATGGGAAGTATCAACATGACAATAAGTATACATATATAGTGCATTGTCCTGACTCCATCCTATAGTTTCTAATGGAAACACTATCTGAACCTTTCTTTCAATTAAAAATGGAAAATTGGACACTGTAACAATTGTTTTGGAATCCATTGAGTGGCATTATCACCTTGTTAGTGTAAATTGACCAATTCGTAATAAGCTCTGAAAGCATAGCTCCAAGTAGGCCAAATAGTGCCCCTGAAGCACCAACAGAGATGTTCCTCTGGATAAACAAAGAAGATAGTATGCTCCCGCCAATGCCAGACAACAAGTATATAATTCCAATGCGCACTACAAATCAAAAGATGACTTTAACTAAGTACATAATTGCATTTCAAGTCCAACATTAGGAAGACCATTACATATAACATACCAAAGCCACATTGCTGTTCAAGGCGTATGCCAATAATTACAAGACTCAACATATTCGCGATCAGATGAATAACACCGGCATGTAACCAGATACACGTGACAAGCCTCCATCCTTGATGTTGATGGACCACTTTCTTCCATTCAAGACCACCCAGCCTCTCCAACCTTCAGCAATAACAAAATGCATAATTTACCAGAAGACATTCTTGGATCCTAAAATACGAGTACTTATAAACGTTGTATATTTGATATTTCATAAGCCAAAAAAGGAAAACAATCACTTTCGAATACACCAACTCAAGAAACCACAATTACCATATATGTGGACAGTTATTAAACCTTAAATAGCTAGACAACAATTGATGCCTTGTCAAAGTTTGCCATATTAAAAGGTTAAGAAGTCTTTGCATGCACCAATTTGAGGCATACATATACATGAGTAGGACAGGCATTCGAATAGGAAACTTTCAAGTAGTGACTCCCACCAAGAGACACAAATTGGAGCAAGGTCCCCATAATAAATCTATTCAACAACTGTACAAGACTAGAAGTTTCTATCCTCAGTACCACTTATAGCTTTCTCCGGTGAAGATAAACGGAACTGCGGTTTACAATATGGCTGTAAAATCTCTAAATCTTCTATGTGCAAAACATAGGGATAGGTAAACACAGTCACCAAAACAATTAAACGCTGGAAATAATTATCAAACCCCATACGTTTATTGCTGACTAGTTTGGGTATATCGGTGAAATCTTTGTGCTCAATGTCAAAACAAGTAGATATAACTAATCGTAGCAATCAAACAGAAAGACAAAAGTTGAAAAAGGGCCACGTAGAGTAAACTGGCGTAAAACAGTAGTAATCTGCTTACTAGTCACCTCAAACAGCAAAAGGAAAAAAAAGAACAAATTTCACATCTCAACCGACACTTTTTGGCCACTAAACAAGAAACAGTAACTGAAAAGGAAATCCAATAAGCAAACCAAATATAACTAATTGTACCTCCTATACTTCAAATTTCTTTAACAGAAACAAGCATCAACCATAAAGACTCAACCTTTAACCCAAAAAACGACTCAAATCATTTCAAGAACACAAAATTACAACATGGGGTATCTAAAAAATTCAAACTTACGTTGAAGAAGAAGGTCCAAACAGAGGATTTTCCCTCAAGGGCTGAAAAGAAAACCTTCCAAGAAACCTAGCTACGCACCCCTGATTACTTTTCGTACAATTGTTGAAATACATGACAATAACAAACATAACAACATTAGCCACCACAAACAAAGGAATCAACCAAGAAATCCACGGCGTATCTGTGTCTTCGACAGCATAGGAAGAAGCATGATTGCTTCCCCTGTTTTTTTCTCCTCTGCTTTCTATATCTCCTCCTCTCATATCTCTCTTCTGTAAAACAATAACAACTCTGTTTCTTCAAATTTTAACTCAAAAAACAGAGACTTTAAGTAATATAAGAAGGGGGTTTAATGGGGGGGAAGGAACGTGGGAATGTGTGTAGAGAGAGAAACAGGGGAGTTGTTATTTTAGTTTGTGCTGATGATTGATCGTGGGATAATGGGATTAGTGCGTTTTAGTTTTGTGGTTTTTGTTAATTACTTGTAATTAATGGGTGGATTATGAGAAATTATAGGATATGAAAGAACAAACTAAACTTTATTCAAGATTTTATGGAACCGGTAAGATATGCTCTTTTTGGCCTCTTCACTACTATTCTATTATTGGAAATATTTGTCGGTTACACTATTAGGATAAGTTATTGTTATTGGGGTAAAATAACGATGATAATATAATTTTATCTCGATATAAAATAATAATAATAATATCGTTTAATATATTATTATCAAATATTCATTAAAAACTAAATATCGGATCTTCATTATATAAGTTGTTATCAAATTTGAGAGGGACGGTTGGTAAAAAAGTCCATGAAATATTTGTACTTCAATCATTTTAATTTATTTATTTTATTTTAATTTTATATCGAGTTTAAGATAATAACCTTTCATTATATAAGTGGTTATCAAATTTGAGAGGGACGATTGATGAAGAAACGTATGAAATATTAGTACTTTAGTCATTTTAATTTATTTATTTAATATTAATTTATATCGAATTTAAGATAATAATGATGGTCGGCTAAAATGATCTTTCATCTTTTGATCTTCAAACTATGCAAAATTAAAATTAAAAAAAAGATTGTTTAAAGAAATAAATTAATATTTTATTTAACAAAGTTATAAAATAGATTTAGAGAAAAATAGAACAAGCAAGTTAAAATAAAAGAGTAAAAATTAGTGTAGTGCATGAAAAACTTCGAACAAAGTGCGAAATTAGAATAACGAATTGATAAATTCTAGATTATTTTTTAAAAATTAATTTTTTTTATTGAATTCCGTTAAAGTCGTAATTAGCCCTTTGAACTCAAATCAAGTTACTGAGCATGTGGCTTTTCTACCATAGTACAATACAAAGTATGGGTGTGTTTTGTGGTATTAACCTGTCTGTTTTTGGGAATTATTTTTATTCATCATCAAGGTCGTTTTAGTCATTTAAATTCATATATCTCACTCCACGTGTCAGCTAGCCACCACGGTAGGTGGCATCCATGCCTCTTCCACCTTGAAGGGGAGGCTCGCAATAGTACGTTTGGGTTAAGACTCAAAGTCATTCTTGAGTTTTTACATGGGACACTAATAGTTTCTTATATTTGTGATATTGATACATCTTTTATCTCCCTAAATTTTTTTTCTATTTTTTTAATATTAATATTGTTCATAATTTTCTCTAAGGAATCTCCCATCATCCTTTTATATATTTAGTAGAAATAATAACTCTATGTGAAAGAATGCGAGAAGAAGAATACATTATTCTGTTCGGTACAAATATTACTTCAACTAAACAAAGAACGTTTTAAATATTACTAGCTATATTCTTACTAAGTTATACCTACACAACTTAAACACTTCTCTTTGCTTCCTTGCAAAGAAGTAAATATGTATAAAAGTGTGAACAAACATAGGCAGTGTAATAAGAAATTTGATATGTAGACAAGATATACTTTTATATAGGGCAACTTTCACATATAGCAAACAAAAAAATCATATTTGTATAATATAGCAAACTTTGCATAATTGCGCTCCATAGCAAACGTAAAAACTGTATAATTCGCTATACATATAAAAGTGTATAATTCGCTAGCCTAAATTGTATAATTCGCTGGCCTAAATTGTATAATTCGCTGGCCTATTTCGCTGCAATTGTATAATTAGCTTTGCATACAGTTGAATCGAATTAAAATATATGTATATTGCATAATTATAAGTGTATAGCAAGAAGATATATGTTTTTCT